ACTTTTCGAGTGATAGATTCCTGCATACAATTGGGTCACTAGTTAGCTTTATGGAAGCTTCCCTTTTCCTTCGTAGCTAATATTTTCTTCATGGAAATAATTAATTTGCCATGACCAAATAAAAAAAAAAAAAAAAACCTATTCAATCTCCAAGTCCTTTTAATTTAAGAGAAAACAATTAGGCCAAAAAATGGTGGGATCGACGTACATCTTTGTTCTACAAAAATTAAAAAACAATAATCACAAGGTCTAATAAATTTTCCTTTCTTTGGAATCAATATCGATTTTTCTTATAGAAACCATGAGAAAAATAACTTGAGAACAAAAGCTGGATCATACATTATTATAGGATAGAAATTAGGACACTAATTGGTATATTTTTTAATTCAATACATTATACAATATATTCACTAAAAAATTATATATTTTTTTATCTGAAATTAAAAATAAATAAATTTAAACATACAATCATATATATATAATATAAGAACCGGTTGTACTTAATTATATTTGAATGACTAAATCAAACAAATACTAAAAAGCATGTCAAACCATAAAATGTATTAATCATATTTTTAAAAAATTATTGAAGTTTCATTGTCTTCTGTCATTGTAATTGATTCCTCAAAGAAAAGTCATGAATGACTATATGCAAAGATCAATATGGTAGGCAATATCATGGTTACTTTCTACAGAGAAAATTCAGTCATTACAATAGCAGAAAATTAAAACCCTCAGTTGGGGTGTGTCCTCTTCATTCATGGATATAAAGTCTTCAATTCCAAACAAAGACCGGCTCAACTCTAAAAGCCCTAATAATTTCCACAATGAAAAGAAATTTCATCCGAAATTTCAGTTGATAAGTCCAGCTTGAACACGTGTCTTTGAAGGGAAGACAATTAGTAAACAAAAGAACTAAAGCAGGTTGAGGTTGTTTTGTAATTTTTCCCTCCCTCTTTGGTTTTTGAGAAATTTCTCAAAGACAAAAATGAAGTGGAATCCTTAATTGAAATTATTTTAATCAAATAATTTCAAGTTCATGATTAAAATATGTTATCGAGTCATCAACGGGTCAATCGAACTAGCTGTTCTAGAGAAATTAAGAATAGCGATCAAAAGTATGAAACCATGAGAAAATACAAGAGTACGTAAAAGCAATTCGAAATGATTTAATTCTAAATACCAAAAATTACTATGCAGTCTCCAAAGTCCTTTTAATTTAAGAGAAAAGCAATTAGCCCACAAATGATTATATTTTTAAATTTATTTATTTTTAATTTTATATTAAAAAATAATATTTTTTAATAAATATGTTATATAGTGTATTAAATTAGACAATATATTAACCAATATTTTTGAAAAAATTATTTTGATCTAAATAAAACTACTTAATAAAAATCATGTATAGAGAAAATTTTTCTCAATTTATATCTATTTGACATATAAAAATATTAAGTTAAATTGTTTATATAAAAATCAAATTAGAAAAACTAAAAGAAGACAGTAAGGAATGGTAACTTTAACATTATCGAGTGATGGATTAATTCCTGCTTACAATTGAGTCACCAGC